GATACCAGATCCAACAAAATCCACAGGTTACCCGAGAAGAGCTGCAGGAACATCTGTGTGCATTAGGGATTAAAGTAACCAAGCGTACAATAAGTAATGAACTACACAAAAACAGTCTGAAATCACGCATCCCAAGGAAGACTCCATTCCTCTTGAAACGACACAGAGATGCTAGGCTAAAATTCGTTAGAAAGCATAAGGATAAAGAATATTCGTTTTGGGAAAAAGTACTATGGACAGATTAAACTAAAATAGAGTTGTTTGGTCATAATTATCGAAATCATGTGTGGAGGAGGGACGGTGAAGCCTACTTACCAAAGAAGACGTTGCCAACTGTAAAGTTTGGTGGTGGCAGTATCATGATCTGGGGCTGTTTTTCTGCAAATGGTGTTGGCAGAATATCAATAATAGACGGCAAGATGAATGCCGAAAGATACCAGAAAATCCTGCAAGACAATTTAATGCGTTCTATTGAGAGACTTCGGCTACCTCCTGATTGGGTTTTCCAACTGGATAATGATCCTAAGCATACCGCTAAATCTACAAGGAAATGGTTAGCTGAAAGTAACGTTGATGTCTTGCAATGGCCAAGTCAGTCCCCAGACTTGAACCCAATCGAGAATTTATGGCGATATTTGAAAATTCAAATTGGGAAAAGAGCACCAACAAATATCAAGAATTTGAAGACAATATGCCAAGAAGAATGGGACAAAATACCACTCAATGTGTGCAAATCATTAGTTGAGACGTACAGGAATAGACTGGTAGCTGTTGAACTCAATAAAGGATATTCCACAAAGTATTAAATTAAGTTAATATGCTTTTTTTGTCTTGTACGAATACTTTTTTCATCAGTTAAAATTAAAAAATGCATTAATTTCTGTTAGAATAAGAATTAATTAGGTTTATTATTATTTTTTAATAAAATGTATCTTTACACATGAAATGTATCAAAATTTGTTTTAGTTAAGGCTTTTACATGTATAAAAATACAATTTTTCAAGTGTATGAATATTTATTTACCCCCACTATATATATATATATATATAGATAGATAGATAGATAGATAGATAACTATACTCGTTTCGAAAAACCCTCGAATTTTTGATTTGCCAATAATCAAATCAATCTCGAGGGAAAAAAAAGGTTTTAAAAAAAGAAAGAGCTAGAAACATGAACGCCTGTCGAATATATATATATATATATATATATATATATATATATATATATATATATATGAGCTATTAAGTATATATTAATAAATATGCATATTATCATTTACCAGTAGCACGAATCGGAGTTTCAAGCACAACGCAGTGTTCAGGTTTTGGGTAGAGACTGACCTTTACACACACACACACACACACACACACACACACACAGATAGATAGATAGATAGATAGATAGATAAAATTAGTCTCGTGGGTCGACATCTTTTCTGGCCACTATTAAACGTCGGTAGATGTCATGTTTTGTTCACGTCACACGGCATGGCACCTTCTGCAAGACAATCATGCAATGCAGTGTTGAAGGCGTACGCAGTCAGGGACGGCAACGCAAAAGTTGGTCAGACAACATCAAAGGGGAGGAGGGCACGGTAGTGCCGGAACTCCTGAGAGCCACCGCCAACAGATCATCCAGGAGGAGAAGTTTGTTTTTTCTGCCCTTAGGAACCCGCCTGACTCTTAAAATAGTCAAGGGAGTGATGATGATAATGATGATGATGATTGCAAGGAAAGTTGGTTCAGTGTGGCGCTAGACAATCTTTCTCACTAGAATCTATCTTGCATCTTTATAAGTCTGCCATTCGTCAGGACATTGAATAGTACTACATCTGACTTGGTTCTTCTGCTATGTATTTGTAGATTCTTCACAAAATGCAAAAAATCAGTCTGCAGTGTTATCGGTCTTGACCTGGCATCTCGGTATCAATCACTTCCCACCGCCGTGACGTAGCTTCGTGGTATCTTTTTCTATGGTCAGTGTTGTGATGAGCTTTCTTCCACTTCACAGATTTAAGCGCAATACTAGATTGGCAGTTAGGTCTTACCATATATAACATCAATCGTCATCTTTGTCGCCTTGGATCCAGTTCTTCTATTGTCCTCAATAGCAATTTCTCATTCACTGTCAATAAAGCAGTGCTACGTAGTGGCTTTATCGCCTTTCTTGGAGCGAATGATTAAAAAAAGAAAGAAAGACAATGAAAATTCTATTCTTGAGGCATACTGTCTTTGGTTTCCTGATATTTGGCTCGGAACCTGCATTTTGAATCCACGCCATAATAATATCTTCTTCTTCTTCTTCTTCTTCTTCTTATTATTATTATTATTATTATTATTATTATTATTATTTTATTTCCTTTGATTTCTGGTGTGTACTTATTTCTTTCCGGGTCCCAACCAGAGACCTAAGGTTAGAAATGGCATCATGACATTTTCCACTGAGCATTTTTGTAAAAATAAATAAACAAATAAAAACAAAAAAATACAAAAATAAAAATCACACATAATTTACATAAATTAAGCCGTTCGTAAGTTATGCGCTCTACTTTTTTGTATTTCTTTAAGGCATGGGCTACCAGGAATCCCTTCAATGAAAAATTATTTTCTTGTTCATTTTTTTTTTCAACAAGGCTGATGTCTAGTTTGGTGGTATCAAGGAAATGGTCAGTTGTTAATATTATTAATGTTTCCTTTGATTACTTCTGGGTCCCAACTAGAGATCTAAGGTCAGAAATAGCTTCATGACATTTTCCACTGATCATTATTTAAAAAAATAAAAAAATAATATCACACACAATTTTGGGGGATAAGCCTCTTTCTCATGTGTGAGCTGTACTTGTGAGAACATTTTCTTTTTGCATTTCTTTAAGGCATGGGCTACCAGAAATCCCTTCAATGTGTCTATTGGAATCTTTTCCAATCAATTCGAGGGATCCAGCTACAACTGGCATTATTGATGTCCTCATGTGCCACATTTTTGAGATTTCGATTTCAAGATCCTTGTATATTGATAGCTTTTTGAAGATCATCAAAGATACATTGCTGTCTGCAGGAACTGCTTTGTCAATAAGGAGGCATTTTTTTTTTGTTTGCGGTCTAATCACAATGTCCTGGGCGATTAGCTTTGTTTGTTCTTTATTATTATTACTATTATTATTATTCCTGCATTATCATGTTCATACTATTCATCGCTAAGGACTGAGTGATAGCATGTACCCTCAAATTACCAGCACCTTCCTCGGTATCATCTCAGATTCTAAGTACGCTACAGTTTGCGCTTCATATTTCGAACACATTCAATCTCGATTCCAATCTTGTTACACTGTCCCAAGTGCTACCAGTATTATAGGTACGATTCTTACCTTCATATTTCTATCTTTCCCGACCTTTCTCAGCTCCCGGGTAAGGTCCTGCTAATTCTCTGTATCGTAACTGTTATCTAGATAGTATTCCGACGTCAAATACTGCCTCCGAGAAGAAAGTAAGCGACATTAAGACAAAAGAAGTAAATGCTAGAAATTAGTAATGGTTCGCAATGCTGGATAGAATAAAAAATAAAAATCACATTCTTCTTCGTTTACGTGCTGTGTGACTATAGGACGTGGGCGATCATGAACCTCCACAACTTCCTATCCCATGTAACCATTAGCAGCATTTTACCTTTTTCCAAAAGTCACCCCACCAGTTCACGCAACCACGTCAGGTGTTCAACCCGCTCCTCCCCCCATCTTTCTTGTCTTTTTACGCCTTGTAAGGCTAAAATTCTCCAATCCTTCCTTCCTCATTTCAAGTCCAAGGAATATAAGCTGTCACTTTCTACTTCTGAGTAGAAGTTTTACTTTTTTTTACCGTTTTCTTTAAGATTCCCTCGTTGCTTACTCGCTCTGTACATGCAATTCTCAGTATCCTTCTGTAGATCACATTTCTGTGCCCTTCAGTTTTCTCGTCATCCGTGGTGGTGGTGGGGAGATTGCCCAGCATCCACTAGTATACAAGAGGATAGCAGTTAGACACTATTTTCTTTGTTTTTAATGAATATTTTTTTGTTTCTTAGTACTTTGCTTAGCTTTTGAAAGGCATCTTTTGCTAATCCAACGAGCGTTCGGATTTTGCTGTCACATTTTCCATCTTCTGTGAAAAAAAAAAACTTGCTTGATACTGGCATCTCAAATTTGTAGTTTACACCTTAGGATAAACTCTATATCTACAAATACTATTGGCCTTCTTATATAATATCTTATTTTAGATCATTTCACCCCAAGCAAGTTTAAATAAACCGGTCATTTAGATGACCAGAACGTTTTATAAACTATAACCACGTCCTGGGTAAGACGATAAACTACATCCGGCATCAAGGCCTCTGATCAGGAGGTTTTGAGGAGCGTGGAACCACATCATAATTGTTGGTGTTCCCAAGTGCACCCTGATCCGGGGTTGTAGTACCTGTTAGGGTCCTAGCTAATGGCAAATAGTTAACCACTCTTAAACTGGGGTCATAACACTATAGAAATGTAAAAATATATTTTAATACCAGCAATACATTTTTGTAAAAATTATTACAAGCAATGCAATTTGAAGAAAAAATTATTACCAGCAATAGATTTTTTGAAAACAAATATTATATGCAATACATTTTTGAACAAAAAATATTACCAGCAATACATTTCTTAAAAAAAAAACGAACCAATTTTCTTAGTTTCAGACTTAGCAATTGATTCAATATATACTTTCCACTTCATTTCAGTCATGTTAGTCCGATAAGGCATGAACAATCATTTCCCTGGAGGTTAGCATCAGCCATACTGATGAAAGGCAAAAAGTCCTCTCAGATGTTTAAAAGAAAGCAAATAAAATATAAAAGAAAAACTGATAAAAGAAGGACAACACTGAGGAAATAATTAAATTTCAAACACGAAAAATGGACGAAAATGAAACATTGGATGTTTTTTTACGACAAAATCTCAGTGAAAGTTTTTGGTTTCTTTTTACTTGCAGGTGTCAGTGGATTTTACTTTCGTATCAACACCAACGGAGATGCTGAGGGTAATTTTTCGCTGATAGCCCGACGATTTACAAAAGGCAAAGGTTGGGGTCTTTACCCAGTGGGTGTCTTTCGCTTAAGTGAGAATCTGACCGGATATCCGGTAAGTATGGCAATTTCCGCCATTTTCTGAGTTTAAATTATATTCAGCAGGAAGTATTTCTTTATTCGTTATAATTGAGAAAATTAAGTTTTTATTAAATTCATTTCAATTTTTCTGCCGCCTGTTAAAAATCAAAAAGATTTAAACTTAGTTTTCCGTTATAAAAACATAATAATATCAAATAAGGTCATATTGTGGATTATCCTTCTTTCGCTGAGTCAAGCTATGACATACGGATTAGATCTATGATAAATCAATATCTTTTAATCTCATTCATTTCATTTTTCTTATTTCGGGGATATATCAAGAATCGTATAGAATCAATATATATATATATATATATATATATATATATATATATATATATATATATATATGTTTGAAAAAACAGATCACTTTAAGGTTCCATGTAATAAGTTATTTCACCACAGCCCTTTTAAATGGCTCTGGGTCATCAGACTTTACTTCCTTAGGGTTGGGGTGAAATAACTTATTACATAGAACCTTATAATGATCTGTTTTTATTCAAAGATATTTGCTCTGAATTTACATTGAGCTCTCTGGATATCATCCTCCTTGGGTCTACCAATACGGATTACCTAATTTTGCATAATATATATATATATATATATATATATATATATATATATATATATTGTGTGTGTGTGTATTTAGACAGCAATTTTTCATTAAATAATATAGACAAACAAAACAGTCGAAACCTAACCTGAACAAAATAAACTATGAAATCACCACAAATATTCTTAAATGCCTATAATTCATAACAGAAGCCATTGGCTTATACCAACGGCTTCCCATACTTAAAACTTCTCGTTTTCACTCTCGCGTGATCATGTGTGACGTCACGAGCTGCAATGCGATTTTCGTTTCCGCGACTTTGTATACACGAGTGAGTCGTTGCTTTGAACTTATTCATGCAACAAAAACAGATTATCATTATTGTTTCGTCCGTGTATTGTTTGATATATTGAAAAGTAATTGTTATCTTTGATAATGGCTTATGTAAGCCGAAAGCTTAGATAGGATTAAAACATGTATCAATATGGTGATTTTCTTTCGTCTTTCAATGATAATGTTATTAAGCTTATCAGACAATATGAAAGGAACTTACTTAAAATAAATAGACAAAACTTGTCTATATTATTTAATGTAACATGACATGCATCAATATATATATATATATATATATATATATATATATATATATATATATATATATATAACATATTAAATATTAGAAATACTGACCATTATTCTACCACGGTTTCTACCAGAATGGTTTCATTAGACAGTAGGTCTAAATCCAGACCAGAGGTCGGCAACCTTTTTCAAGTGAGAGGGCCAGTGTTATATAGTGTCTTGGACGAGAGCCATGATATCAAAGTTACTATAATAAATTGTTTCGGCCCCTGAACTCTACGTCCAGAAAACTGCCTTGGTTTGGAGGCTTAAAGAAAAAACAATGAAGTTAATGTTTATATTATTTTCTTATTTCGGGGATATATCAAGAATCGTATAAACTCACACGTTTTCCTTTCTTTTGAAAATCCAGACCTTTCATTTGTTCGAAGGAGAGGCTATTTCCTGGCCGGACGGAAAAGGACCCCCACTGGATGAACCTCCATGCGGTTACCGAGGCGAGAAATGCATTCCCGAGAAAAGTAAGTAAAGATCATCTACGAAAAAAGGGATTTCTTTTTGGACGAGAATATTCGTCATTTCTTTTGGTTTTCTCTTTACCACAACATTTATATTTTTGTGGGGTTGTATAGGCGTATGACAGCAGAGATTACTTGTCGATTTGATCGCGGATATATGAGCGCCACAGTTAAGCAATGTTGACAAATCGGGAGTCAAAGTTTAACGCATATAAATTGTTGTAACTGCGTTATCAAAAACAATAGAAAACTGTAATGGCTTAAACAACAATTTTATTACACTTTGATACAGGGAAAACATAATGTAGAATAGGATCTAGGGAAGACAATGTTTAGCCATGAATGACTAACTGCTTTCGGCAAAAGCTGACCAATTTACCAAAGCCTCCTTACAAGGCAGGATGTGGCACAACGCCGGTTTTATGCGGGGCAAATCTGATTCCGTAGTCTTGAGCAAAAATTCCCTGTAGACACCTCATACACAGGGTTGGGTTTGTCTACATCCCCAAACTAGAATCTGCTCCTTAGCACAGCTTCGTCTGGGTACCTCTCTGCCTTCAGGCAGAATTTCGACAAGTCTGTCGTGAGCCTGGAAGCGAACTGCATGACTCAGCAAAGGCTACTGCTACTCGTCTTCATGTAAGAGTATTTTTATGTCTTGAGCAAAATTTCCCCGTTATCCTATACAGTTTGTCTACTTCCACAGACTAGAATCTCCCCCTTAGCATAGCCTAGTCTGGGTTCCTCTCTGCCTTCAGGCAGATAGTCAACAAGCCTGTCGTGAGCCTGGCAGAGAACAGCATGACTCAACAAAGGCGGCTGCTGTTACTCCTCTTGATGTAGGCATATCTTTATGTCTTTCGTCCGACGGCCGAGTCCAAACTTGTAGGGAAATATTCTCCCTCACAATATAAATGAAAGTTCAGGAAAGGCAGGGACGGAAAACTATTCACATTAGAGAAACGTTTTAACGCTGAAAGTTCTCTTGTTGGCGCCTGAATTAGAAAAAAAATATAAACAGATATAAGTACACAGAAAAGAATAGATTAATCATTAAAAGCATTTAAATATAAAATAATGCCATATATATTATATAACATGCTATCTACCATTTAATTGATTAGACATTGGAAAGGCGATGGAAGTTTAATGTTCTTACGACGAACGAATGAATTTATTTCATTGGCAAAGGAAAGATAGGATGAAATCCTAACATACGAACACAGGAAGGAAAAGAGTGAGAAACCAGACAAATAATATTTGATTATACAACCAGAATTTAAATATGCCACGACTATTCTGTCATTCTGCCTACCATTTAGTAAATAAGACATTGATATATAAATTGAAAAATTAACGTCTGATAGATTTTTTTTATAACCAATCAATTGCCATACAAAATAAAAACAACTCTTTAAGATAATCCCAGATGCAACATGTTTCAAACAGACAGTCAGAGCTCATAGCACAATACCGGCTGAACCGATAATCTCCAAAGGAATACAAATATATATTTAAGTCCTGTTCGGCTACATTAGCTTGCGGAAAGGGGGTTGTATTTAATAGCTCATATTTTATGTCTGGTTTTTGGATACGGCCACAAAGCAGCGAAGGTTTAAAATCAGTGTTTGGATATGGCTGAAAGACACCGAAGGTTTAAAATCAGCTTTGGGGGCAGGGCCAAATGGCACCGAAGGTTTACAACCAGTGATTGGATATGGTCGTAATGCACCGAAGTTTGAAAATTAATGTTTGGATATGGCCGAAAGGCACCGAACTTTTAAAATCAGTCTGTGAATATGGCTGCAATGCCCCAAAAGTTTAAAATCAATGTTTGAATAGGACCACCAGATATCGAAGGTTTAAAATCTTTAATTGGATATTGCCAATGTAGAATAACAATAATTATTGTTAATTGTTATTTGTTTATTTATGCTGTTTATTATTGTTATTGTTATTGTTCAACGAAGACTTAAAATCTTTCTTTCCCTTTCTCCTTACGATGACCATGACTTGTTTATTTATTTATAATACGAACAACTCTTTATGTACAAAAATTAATCTTAGGAAAAAAATAATGTCAAGAAATTTATAAATGTAACGCCATTTCTTGGTGTCGTTTTTTGTTTTAGAAGGTACCGCCATTAATTTTCGATATCTTGGTTTCAAATGAATTTTTACGAATGAAAAATCTTTCTTGGAGTTTTTATTTTAGCTTTAATTAAAAGGCAAAGCATTAAATTTACTATTTTAAGTGAGCAAAATACTCTGGTGTAACATCAATTATCTTGATTGGAATTGATTTTGGGGGGCTAAAATAGCTGATTAGCGTCCATTTTTAATCGTCTTTCTTTGCGATGTAATTTTCTTTCTTAAAAGTTCTTCCAAAATAAAATATATTTTATTGAAACTTTATTTGAAGAATATTAACTGATTTAAAGTATAATTAATCTCATTTGAAATAAATATTATTTACTTTCTGTTTAAAATAACAAACGAATGGATTTTCTAAAACAGTAGCGGTGATTTTTGACCAACAGCAGCCATTCTCACATTATTAATGAGCGATGATAAGTGCTGATGTGTTGACAGTTTTATTGTTGTTCTACAGAGACTTTATTTGTTAAAAAATAATTTTAGAAAATGACAAATGAGTCCCTTTTTATATAATTTTGTATATACTCAGTAATCGTAAAAATGTTAGAAAATATTCTCCGTAATTGGATTTTAGAAATGTTGACTTAAAATTTTCTATAGTCATCGCTCTTATTATCTGATAATGTCGTGTGTGGTCAACAATACTTTCAAATTTGGGCACATGATATAATATTTTATATAATTTAAAAAATCTAAAACGTTTTTTAAATCTTGGTACAAAGTGATTCAATTTTTGATGGATTTTCACTTAATAACAATATCCATATCTGTCTATATTTCTGAGATGAGGTATTATGTACACTATTTACATTATTCGGACTATAGTCCTCATCTTTGTCGCCATATTTATTACAACGTTTCGGCCCTTCAGTATCTGTCTATATTTCTGAGATGAGGTATTATGTACACTATTTACATTATTCGGACTATTGTCCACATCTTTGTCGCCATATTTATTACAACGTTTCGGCCCTTCAGTATCTGTCTATATTTCTGAGATGAGGTATTATGTAAACTATTTACATTATTCGGACTATAGTCCTCATCTTTGTCGCCATATTTATTACAGCGTTTCGGCCCTTCAGTATCTGTCTATATTTCTGACATGAGTTATTATGTACACTATTTACATTATTCGGACTATAGTCCTCATCTTTGTCCCCTATTTATTACATTTGCCCTTCAGTATCCCTATATTTCTGAGATTATTATTACTATTTACATTATTCGGACTATTGTTCAGCCATATTTATCACAACGTTTCGGCCATTCATATCTGTCTATATTTCTGAGATGAGGTATTATGTACACTATTTACATTATTCGGACTATAGTCCTCATCTTTGTGGCCATATTTATTACAACGTTTCGGCCCTTCGGTATCTGTCTATATTTCTGAGATGAGGTATTATGTACACTATTTACATTATTTGAACTATTTTCTTCATCTTTGTCGCCATATTTATCAAAACGTTTCGGCCATTCAGTATCTGTCTATATTTCTGAGATCGGGCCTTCGTCATTATTCGGACTATTTTCCTCATCTTTGTTGCCATTTATGAAAACGTTTCAGCTGTTGTACGCTCGGGCCTTCGTCAGTTCGACATTCCAAACCTGAAGTGGCCAGAACGTACAACGGCCAACAACGATAAGGACAACAACGTAAGAACAATAGTCCGAAATAGTGTAACAATATCACCTAACCGAATGAAAGTAATACAGAATTTGAAAAGATTTATACATTATAAATTATTACAATTAAATTTAGAAAAATAAATACAATTCTTGTAAAAGTTCATTATTCATCGAAATTATTTTCCTTATAAATGTCTTAATAAATCTTTTTTATAAAAGCAATTAAAAGTCTTTCTAATTAAATAATGTCATAGTTTTATAGATTTTTTTATTTTACGATTCGGAGCAGATTTTCGGGTAATTAGTAGTAGTTTGAAAAAAAAATAATTTGAAATTCTCCAAGGAGTCCTGCTTTTAAGTAATAAAAAAATCGCATAAATGTCATTTCTCTAAATTTCATGAAACTAAAAAATGTCCGGAGTAGTATATGTAAAGAAATTATTTTTACCAAGATTTTCCAAAATAAAATTAAAAAATAATTTCTTATTTGTGAATAAGTCCTGAAAGTTTCATTAAAATCCGTCAATTATTTGAATTTTGCAAGAATTTCCAAATCAATGGGTTTTTCACCTGAAAAAAGGCGCAAAGTCACTAATCGTAAATATTACGTCGAACGCTGACGAAAATAAAAATTAACCAAAATTTTAAACATGCTAGAAAGGATTAAAAAATTTCATAAAATAATAAAAAAAATACTTAATAATAAAACAGATTTTGACGATAAAACTTTATTTTTATTGAACTTTTTTCTTTCATCATGTTATGTTGGTTTTTCAGTGAAATTTGGACGTAGCTACCTTCTTCTCACTTTCCCGTTATCTCTCTTTACGTCCCTCTATTTGTTATTCTCTTTCTTTATTCTCCTTTCTCTCTTCATCCCTTCTCTTTTTCTTTTCCTCCTTTTCCTCTCTCTCTCTCTCTCTCTCACTTTCTCTCTCTCTCTTTCTCTCTCTCTAGTTTTCCTCCTCCTCTCCCTATCTCCTGGCCAACTTTCTCTCCTCTCTCTCTCTCTCTTTCTCTGTCCCTGTCACTCTATTCTATCGAAGGCATTTCGTAATACAAGAAGTCTTTTTTAGCTAAACAACATATTTTACAGCTTTCATTAACAATCCTTGTATATCGAGACGTGATCTGAAATAAACAGTGATTCACACGACTTGCTTAGAACGTCATTATATAAGGGAGTGAGTAAGCAAAAAAAAATCCCTCTTGATGGTGGATTGCAGGGTGGATGGAGAATGCGAAGAGCGAAGCAGGGAATAATGGCGGCCTGTACGTGTTGGCTTTGCTTGTGAATCTCATATTGTTTCACCACTTTCATGCGACTCTTGACAACAACCGTTTGTTTGATAAAAAAAATAATTATTGTAAGTGGCACATTAACTCCTTTAGAGAACGCTTGAACTTTGCTTGTTTCTTGGAATTAATTGGAACCATTTTCCTCTTTTTGTGTTTAGCGAAAATTCTTTCTTTCTTTCTTCCTTTCTTCTTCTATCTCACACTGTTTAAACCTATCTATCTCTATCGCTCTATCGATTTACCAGTCTCAATCTGTTCATATCTATCTATCTATCTATCTATCTATCTATCTATCTATCTATCTATCTATCTATGTTAGTCTGCTCATAATTATCTAGTTACCTATCGCAGTCTGTTAATATCTCTCTCTCTCTCTCTCTCACTCTCAATCTCTTTGTGTCTCTCTCTCTGCCTGTCTGTCTGTCTGTCTGTCTGTCTCTGTCTCTCTCTCTCCATATATATATATATATATATGTGTGTGTGTGTGTGTGTGTGTGTGTATTTATATATCTTAGTCCGGTTATATCTATCTATCTATCTATCTATCTATCTATCTATCTATCTATATATATATATATATA